CGATCAATTCAAACAACATTACAACACATCCTTCTTCTTTTGGAAGTTCTTCACTATGATCCTGCTTGGTATATTCGTCCATTTCGTGTTCGGGATGGAGATTGTGCGGTCATACTCGTCGTTGATATTTCTCGCTGCGGTTCTTGTACGTTGATTGCAATATCTTCCTGAACGGTATTAGAATCGTCTCTTCCTTCGTCTTCGTCGTCATTCTCTTCCATTTTCCTCGGATGAACTCTATTTCTTCATATTATCCGTTGATCACAGCGTACTAGGTACGATTTTTTTGTTGCTCTGATATCACTTCTCCCTTCATCCACACCTTTTCCGTTGGCTCCAATGGTTGTAACCAAACCGTGTCTCCTGATCTGAGAGCACAGGTTTGCTGCCGCAGTCGCAATACCTCTTCTGTAGCGCCATGCGTTTCCTTAACCTTGACTGTATGATTATTGATGGCGTAGTCTGTGGCTGTAGTAACTCGTCGCAAATGGGTAGAATTGTGCGTGTGCGTCTGCCAAATAAACGTTGGCTTGGGCTGGTTCCCATGTTGGTCGATGGTATGTTCCGTAACTCGAGCAGGGCCATTAGTGGGTCGCTACTATCCGCGCCGCATTTTTTGATAAGCTTCTTAGCCTGTTTCACTGCGCTTTCTGCTTTGCCACTGGACTGCTTATGATATGGACTAGTAACGTGGTGTTCAAAACGCCATTGGTCACTGAATTTCCAGGATTCGATGCTACGAAATTGGGGGCCGCAATCGGAGATCACCTGAAGTGGTATTCCATGTCGTGCGAAATGAATGCGCAGTTTATTAATGCCCTCCGCCGATGTGTTGGATCGCAGTAAATCAACTTTGAAAAAGTCACTGTAGTAATCAACAGTTATCAAATAGGTGTCTTTCCCGTGATAGAATAAATCAAGCGCTACCATCTGCCACGGTCTCTCTGGTATTCATCGGTTCCTTCGTTTGTCGCCGATCAAACTTCCTGCAAATTTCACATTTAGAAATCACTTGTTTTATGTGTTTCGACGTACCCAGCCAATAATATGTCTCCCTGGCGCGACTGAGGAATCCGTTTGTACCGCCTTGAGAGCAATGTATCCAACGCATTACATTTGTTCAATCAATTTTGGTGCGACCAACCTTTCACCACGAAAAATCAGTTCATCGTGAACAGTTAATTCATCTCGGAATTTAAAGTAGGGTAATACGTCCATCGGAAGGGCTTTTTTGTTCTCTGGCCAACCACGTGTGATAACTCCTTTAAGTTCNTTCCAGCTTTTGTTCCTGTCTTGTATCTGGCAATGTGGCTCGTGACAACGTGTCCGCCACAAACATGCGTTTACCTTGTTCGTAATGCAGCTCATAATTGTATTTCTGTAGACATATTAGCATGGATTGTAATCTCCTTGGTGCTCTATGGAGGGGTTTATCCACAATCATAATCAGTGGTTTGTGATCCGACCAAATGTGTAATCATTGAACTTCTCCAGCGCATACACAATTGCTAGCATTTTTTCTCAATCTGGGCGTACCTTTGTTCACAGTTCGTTAGTGTCCTACTCCGATAATCTAATGGACGCCCATTTTGGAGGAGCACTGCACCTAATCCAAATTGACTGC